AAATTGTTGTGAGCCAAATCAATATGTTTACGACTTTGAAAATCCGTAAACTTTCAAGGATTTCACCAATCAAATTCTTATCTCATTCAAATATACTTCATTTTTTAGCTTCCCAAAGTCCAACAATATTCTCATCAGAGAACACCCATTAAATACCAAACTTAGATATTCAAGATTGGCTTGTATAAGAAAATTGAGAACTTCTCTGAAAATAATTCAAACAAAGATTAAGAAACTAATTTTTTTGAGGTTTTAGAAATGGAACTTGGAATTTCCACTTTAATGGCAGGAAATTTGTAATCAAAGAAAAAATGAATGGGTTGAAATAGAAAAGAAAACAAATATAAAAGGGGGAAATAGAATAAAAAGTAGAATAATAATATTTTAATAAAAAAAAGTACAATATATTTACGTGGCATTGCGCGTGCAGCCCACCACTTACCACAAATCTAGGTGTGACCTTTTAAGGGGCAATATATTCCACTTTTAAAATGTCTAGGGGGTAATAGGACCCCCGTAAAATATAAATGTGTAGTCAAGAATTGACTAATAGATTGGGGGGTCATTTGACCATTTTCTCTATATCTTTTTTAGTTTGTAGTCATTTCAATAGGTATGCCAAATAGATTTGTATTTCTTAAGCATGTATCCTATTTTTTCATAGTTAATTTATATTTTGTTGGAATGTATGCGTCCACTTAGTTACGATAGGACCATGTCCTTAGCACGATTACAATAACAGAAGTAAATAAGTACTGAAAGTAAAGAAGGTACACACAACTTTACGTGGAAACCTCCTTGCTCAAGGGAGTAAAACCACGACCTGTCTCACATGATTTTTCAAAATGCTTTTACTAAACTTCACAAGCCAAAGTAAAACCCAGTTTACAACACACACGAGATTAACCTACTAATCTCTATCCTGAGTAATACACTATCACTCAATGAACCAAAGCAATGCCTGTATTGCCTACTATACTAACCCAACTGATTAATATAGACTTTGACGTAAGACACTAACTTGCCCACAACTATGTTCTTACAATGATTCACCCAAGGTTGAAACGTTTCTATCACAACGAAACGATTCCTACAATATACGTACAAATACAAGCAATCAAAGTAACAGCTGATTCAAGCAGCAATAATGCAATCTATTAGGTCCCTTGTTGTTTTGAAGCTTGAATATCTCTCTTTGAATGAATGCGTTAGTTTATTGTTTGTTGTCTTGAATATATCAACATCAAGAGTAAATACATATTGGACAAACAACCTCGTCCCTTTTGATTGGTGTAGTACTCTGACGACTTCACCAACTTCTGACGTGGACAACTTTCCAGCTGTGCAACATATGATCCTGGATGAGCATACTCTGCAGAGTACCGGGTCCCTGCACTTGTGAGGAGATCATCAAAACATCTGGGAGCATTAAGACTTATCATTTCCCCTCTTTTTGATGATGACAAACAACTTACAAGCTGCCTCACATGAGTGTTAAGCATTCATTCAAAAATACATTAATTCCCCCTATCGTTGTTCCCCCTATCACTGTTCTTCCCCCTTAGTTCAGTTCCCTTCTAATTTCACACAACTGTTCACCTTAATTTCCCCCTTTTGACATCATTGACAAGGAATGGCAGTAAACATATACGAGCTGCATGTAAAACATTTAAGGATTCAGGGCCATGGGCCACACAAAATATGTATAGGTAAGCACAAAAGAGAATATCAAAGCATACTGAACAGGGCACAAATAGAAATATCATTAGATCACAAAAGCTTACCATAAGAATCAGCCAAAACAGTACACAAAGCCACTAGAGTTGTTGACACAGAGGTGAGGAGGACAATAAGACAAGACTCATTTAGGACGGAGGGGGAGGGGGAGGGGGAGGGGGAGTAAGAGTTCACATCAGCAAAGACATTCGTTCATTTGCATCAACATGTGCTTGAATGATTTGCTTGTTGAGAGCTTTGACTTCCTCACCGAGTGAGGCATTTGTCTTCAACAACTGCTCATTCTCAGCTCTCAACTTGTGCTAGAAAGTTGTACAACAGTGACATCATTGTTTCTCATTTTGATGTTCGGGCATGGTGCATCATCACCCAAACATATAACCGGAGGGAGTTATTACAAGAGATTTTTAGCCAAGTTACCGGTTCCAAGGACGAGGGAGATAAGGATGACATCCTTGCTGACATGTTGAGAAAAAGCCTAATGGGAAAGAGATATCTCATTGTATTAGATGATATGTGGGATGGTATGGCATGGGATGACTTAAGGCTTTCTTTTCCCGATGTTGGAAATAGAAGCAGAATAGTAGTAACAACTCGACTTGTGAAAGTTGGTGTGCATGTCATACACCATACTGATCTTTATTTCCTTCCATTCCTCACACCAGAAGAGGCTTGCAGATTGTTGTAGAAAAAAGTGTTTCAAAAGGAAGTTTGCCCATCTGAACTAGAAGATGTGAGTCTAGCAGTTGCAAAAAGATGCAAAGGACTGCCTCTAGTAGTTGTATTGGTAGCTGGAATAATCAAAAAAAGGAAAATGGAAGAATCTTGGTGGAATGAGATTGAAAATACTCTATTTTCCTATCTTAGTAAGTCTGAAGAATATAGTCTGGAGACTATGCTTTTAAGTTATGATAACTTACCCGATCATTTAAGACCGTGCCTTCTTTACATGGGGATGTTTCCGGAGGATGAAAGAATTCCAGTGTCTCAATTGATAAGTTTATGGATCGCAGAAGGTTTTGTGCAGAACATTCAATCTGGAATCTTGGAAGATGCAGCTGAGGGTTACTTGATGGATCTCATTAGCAGTAATGTGGTAATGGTTTCATGGAGAAGATATAACGGTAAAGTCAAATACTGTCAGGTTCATGACATAGTGCTTCACTTTTGCTTGGAGATGAGCAGTGAAGAAAAGTTTATGTTGGCATTGAAGGGAAATCATAGCCAGTTTCAACCTTGTGATTGGAAAGAAAGTCGAGTGAGCTTCAGTTTCAATAATGAGCTTTCCATGTTTGCATCTCTAGGCTCCAAAACACGAAAGCGTTTCCACGAGCACTTGAGGTCACTGATAACGACCAATCTAAGTGAATTTTATGATTGGAATCCCTTCCGTCAGGTTAGTGAAGTGAGACTTCTTAAGGTCTTGGATTTGAGTTCTCATACAGTGGATCATTTTGGGTTAGCTACATTGAAACCACTAATTCACCTGAAGTACCTCTCTGTTCGCACAATTACATTCAATTTTCATCGAGAACCGCACCTGCCCCATCTTGAAGCTTTAATTGTGAAGTGTTTCATCAAACCTACAGTGTTACCAAAGATTTTTTGGAAAATGGAAAAATTAAGGCATGTTGATATTAGTAAAGCTGTTATTGATTTGGAGGGGATCTTTGAAGAATCACCTAAGTTGGAAAACTTGAGGATATTAAGGAATGTTAGATTTCGAATTTGCAATGCTGATAGTGTGGATGTGTTATTATGGAGGTGTCCTAATCTTCAAGAACTCGAGATCTTTTTTAAGGGCGATAACAAAAGATATTTCAGTCCCACTTTGGAGAGTCTTACCCAGCTTCAAATACTTCGCCTTTATGTTAAGTGGCCCCGAATTGTATCCGAGTTACACTTGCCTTCAAATTTAAAGAAGTTGGTACTAACTGGAAATCCTACAGAAGGCATGATTTCCCTCATTGCGGGACTACCAAGTCTGGAGTATCTCAAATTAAGCAGGAAGTCTCAGATTTGGATGAAATTAGGAGAGTGGTGTCTTAGAGATATCACGTTCCATAAACTTAAATTCTTAAAACTGGTGTGGTTAAATATATCAAGGTTGGATGTCTCGGAGGAATCCTTTCCCCAGCTCGAAACACTTGTTATAAAAGGAAATGACGAGCTCAAGGAGGTCCCCCTTAGCTTTGCAGATGTTCCAACACTGAAACAGATTAAGTTGATTGACTGCAATGAATCACTGGAGGCTTCAGCTGTAAGAATTAAGGAAGAAGTCCAAGCAATTGAAGGATGTGACCGTCTTAAACTTATTATTATCAAAGTAAGTAGAAACAAACTCCTATGTGTTGTTTTTGAGTATCAACGTGCCTCTTATGTGCAAACAATATGTTCAATACAGGAAAGGTGGCAAAACATCCGGAAGTGACGAAAATCATTTTAGAAATCCCATATTTCTTCAAATACTTCGCCTTTTTCCTTTCGGAGGTCCATAGTAGTATCCAAGTTACACTTGCCTTCAAATTTGAGAAGCTGGGACTCCTATAGAAAGCATGATTTCCTTCATTGCGGGACTACCAAGCCTGGAGTAAATTCAATTAAGGGAGCGGATCACTCGTGAGAGTTGGTGCCTCGGAGATATCACATTCCATAAACTTATGTATCTCAAGGTGGGATGCCAGCTCGGAGGCATCTTTTCAACACTTTTTATGAAGTCATTCGTTTCAAAGGTATAACATCTGTTTCATTCCACTTCTTATACATTATGTGTGAGTTTTCAATATTATTATTTATTTTTCTTTTGAGAATTTTGAACTACGGCAATGTGTTTTTACAGCTGTTGTGGCATGGGAGCCAGGGAACCTGTTACTGATCGAGGACTGGGAAGACAGTAAAAATATCACGACTTTTTATTTTATGTATTAACACATGCTTCTTTTCGTAAATGATGTCTTTTTGTAAACTTTTCAATCACAACACACTCACATGTTAATTAAAAATAGTATAAGTATATCTAAAGGACTCCTACTTTAAAAAGAGTTCAAGTTATGGTAAATTTGTATAGTGTTACAGTATCGAAATTGAAAGTGTTATATATATGTAATATTTCGTGGAGTTTGAAGTAATATAGTATTCCTAAAATTCCAAACTAAACCAAATTGGTTTCTTCCTTATTCTAAACTCTATCCGGGTTACTAGTTCTTGTATAAATCAAACACTCGTCTCGTCCTCTTTTCTTTCTTTCTTAGGACACTAATATTTCTTACAATATTTTCTTTTCTCACTCTCAACTGTATTCGATCGACACACAATATGGTTTTCACGCAGCTGAGTTTAGATGATTTTTCGGGTATGAGATGCACGCGCAACATGAATCCTATAGATTATATGCTTGCTGTATCTGAAGTCTCTTGCTTAAAATCTAAGTATGGTGAAGAAGATAACTTAATCGCCGAGCAAGACAAAGAATTTCGTTATAAGAAAGAAGAAAGGAACGTTCAGAATATACAGTCCATCTTATCATCATACTCACAAGTTCTTGATCGTCGTCAACAAAAACATCCACAAGTTCTTGATCGTCGTCAACAAAAACATCCCGTTCTTGATTGCTTCGTCCCAAAGGGGAAACTATCAAAACCAAACAGGCAGCCAAGAAAGTTTACTGAACGATTTGATGGTGAAGTTGAACCGATGATCAAGAAAGCTGTGGAAAATAATTCTGAAGAAGACAAAGAACAGAGAGTAGTAAAGGTTGACGATGAGGAAAAAAATAGAGTAGAACTAATTGGTGTGAGCAATCAAGAATTTTCCGAAAACAGAGTAAACAGAGGATCAGAAGAATGTGAATGTTTATTGGTCGAAAAATCAGGGGTAAAGAAGAGGAAAATTAATCATACAGTTGAAGCCGTCGCGCCCCCTGTTGTAATCATCAACATAGAATTGAGTAGTGAATTCAAGAATCAGATTGCGTTCATTGGGGGTTCAATTGAATCAGCTAAATTGGTTATTGAAAAAATACTATTCGATACGGATGTTAATCCAGCAGAAGGAAGGCTTTCAATCCCACAAAAGCAGATGAGTAATAGGTTTCTAAATACTGGAGAAGAACAACTTTTGAATACGCGCAATGGAGCTAAAATGTCTGAGATGAATGTGTCGTTGATTGAGCCTTCGCGTCAAGTAGGTCAAATCAATTTGAGAAAATGGACTATGAATAAAATTAATGGAAAAACAAGTTCAAGTTATGTTTTAGTAAAACACTGGAATGATGTGACAAAAAGGAACGGTTTGAAAAGCGGTATGAAGATGCAATTGTGGGCATTCCGAAAGGATGAAAATTTATGTTTTGCATTGGTTAAAGTTTAAGATTTCAAGTTAAGTTACTTAGTAGTAACATGAATTCTTAGTAGTAGTTGTTGTTGTTGTCTTCATCATTGTCGTAACAGTAGTTGGCGGTACTGTTTCTTTTTGGTGTGAATAATTTAGTCAAGAAAGGAGGGACAGACATATGAAATACCTACAGAAGATATCAATCTCAAGGTAAATTGGTCTTCCATCTGTTTATGCATACTTCCCTCAACTAAAAATATTAAGAATTTAGTTCTTGATCAGACATCAGTTATAGTTGCAGTAAATTTCTTCAATCAGAATATTTGTAACTTTTATCCAAAACTACATTCCATTTTGTTCATAAAACTGATGAATTGTTAGCCATCATGAGAAATATTTCGTGTCACTTTGTGAGCAACCTATTGCGGAAACATAGTTGAGTCTACAAGTTTAGTTTGAATTTTCATAATTAAGTGATACCAAGTAGATCCCTTCTTCCACGAATCAATTCACATAAGTATTTACATCAACCAGATCGTTGTGCTTAATGATGAACTTCAGTTCACACACAAGTTCAGGCCACGAATTATTTGTCTGGCAAAAGTAGAATATTGATCCAATAACCAAGTCAAAAAGTTAAAACTCTTAGCATGATGAATTATTAGAGAATGATTGTATATATTAATGTATTTAGTGTTGTAATTATAGAGATTTGTTGTAATAATCATATAGAATAATATTTTGATAGAATAGCGGATTTGGAGGGATAACATAGCAGATTTAGATGGATTTGAATAGTTGATCTTTAGGGATATGTAATGTGTATACTCTCTATATAGAGGAAAGACTCTCACTTTGAGAGGCATTCAACAAAATCTTAACAAAAACAAGCTAAAGTACTAATCTACAAAGTGAAATTACATAGCAGGAAAGCCATTGTTTGTGAAAATGGTCCGTGATACATGGTTTGATGACCAATTCTATAGGGTAACGATCCCGGAATATAGAACTTAAAATTCTGTGGTACTAAAGACATTTGCTTGATTACTGAGGAGAATGTGATATACACAGAGTTATTTTCATGTGTTATTCATTAATGTCGCGTATAGCTGCTTCAATAATTCGTATATGACATAACCACCAAGGAGAAAATGAATTTTGATGAAATAGAGTAGATCATTAATGTTACTTCAAATAAGCCATATGGTATATCTGATGGATCAAATCCATTTTTGAAGGTAGTAAAACTCCAAGGTTCAACTTAGAAAGAAATGGAGTTTGGACGAGACTTTGTGATCCTTTTTTGCATAGTCAAGAACGGGAGAGGAAGATGCCAGGTGATTGATTGTTACAAAGAAGTATTTTACAAACCATATCTTAGGGGAAAGCATTTCAGGAAGAATCGCGTGTTTAATATGGATATGAGTGTTGGAGGCTTTCTAGCTCTCTTCTATCTCCTCAAATCACCTACAGAAGGTATCAATCTCAAGGTGAATTGGCCTTCCATAAGTTGCGTTCCATCTGTTTATGCATAGTTCTTATTGTCAATGAGATCCTCAACTAAAGTCTAAAAGTACTGAGAATTTAGTTCTTGATCAGACAACGGATATGTCACTTTTTGTGTAACTTTTATTCAAGACTACATTCCGTTCTGTTCAGTTTTGGGATAAAACTGATGAATTGTTAGCCGTCAGGAGAGTTATTTTGCGTCACTTTGTGAGAAACCTATCACAGAAACATAGTTTAATCTAAAGATCCTTCTTTAAAACCTCAGGGAGATTAAGTCCTCTCATAAGCAAACTTCCTTTAGATTTAGTTCTCAAATTGCAACATGTGTGAATATGTTTCTTGACCCTTTTGCTGCAAAAACAGTTCTGAGTTCTGAACATAATATCACTCTCATTCCACTTGGAATGCAGCGGAAAGTCAGTGCATTCCCTCAAATTCTTGAACAACTCTACTTGAAAAGGACACTAGCAGCAGTCTTTGTCAGGCGCTTGATGTCAAGGTTATATCGCCTGCAAAAGAGGCGTCCTGTATACCAATATGTGGTATATTATTCTCATCTCAATTTCTCCTCTACTGGTTCTTTTTCATTAGGTCACCTTACCATCTGTTCTTTTTGCTATATATTCCAGCAATTTGTTTGGCGATATTCATATCATATATCGTTGTAACAATTGTCTGCACAATGTAATTTACAAACTCCGCTTGTTGATATTTTTGCCTATAATAGCATTAGTAATACTTGAGGATATGTTTATTGGTGAGATCCTTGGTGCAGTAGTAGCTGGAGATCTGTCAGCAGTAAAATGTACCTTTGAAGTGAAGAAGTTAAAAGTGAGTGCTACTGGAGTTGAATCTGTAGATGGTGAAATCAGTATTGATAAAGAGCTAAAATGAGTAATAGGTTTCTAAATACTGGAGAAGAAGAACTTTTGAATATGCTCAATGGAGCTAAAATGTCTGAGATGAATGTGTCGTTGATTGAGCCTTCATGTCAAGTAGGTCAAATCAATCTGAGAAAATGGACTATGAATAAAAATAATGGAAAAACAAGTTCAAGTTACGTTTTGGTCAAACACTGGAATGATGTGACAAAAAGGAACGGTTTGGAAAGTGGTATGAAGATGCAATTGTGGGCGTTCCGGAAGGATGAAAATTTATGTTTTGCATTGGTTAGAGTTTAAGATATCAAGTTAACTTACTTAGTAGTAACATATGTTAAATGAATTCTTAGTAGTAGTTGGTTGATATATGTTGTTGTCGTCTTCATCATTTTCGTAATAGTAGTTGGCATTATAATATTAACATGTTTCTTTTTGGTGTGAATAATTTAGTCAAGAACGGAGGGGCAGACATGTGAAATATGATGGACGTTTCATCTTAATTAGTAACAGATGATATGTTGTATGTATCTGTGATAAAGGTTAGTGACTTCGTAGCTCCTCAAACTAAATGATGAACTGATGTCTTTCAATGTTAAATAGCTTCTTTCATTCAGGCTATATTAGTGAGTCCGGCTAGCTGGAAAAATGTTGCAACAATTGATTGTGTGTATGATTTGCTTCATATGAAGGGTAGTGAATCGTGATGACATTCCTGTCGGCCTTGGAGATGGATTCACAATGAACTAGTCTGATGTGATACTGTTTTCTCTGGAGCAGCACAGAGCAAAAGTATATAATGCCAAACAAAGATGAAGAAATTCTTACTATGTGGCTTACGATACATGTTTCTTCCAAAAGCCTCATGTCTACATGAGACGTCTTCTGGATCTCCGATTATACCATTAGATTTATCACTTTTGAGAGAAGCAACAACACCTTGTACACCTCCAATGTTAGCAAGTTCGTCAACGTTTTTATCTTTGACAAGCTTAGCTAGACTTGACTGATCAATGCCCGAGAATAAAGGGTGGTGTTGAACTACATCAATCGCGACTGTTTCAGTTGATACACAAAGTACATTTCTTGGATTGTAGGCAGCTCTATGTAGTGCTTTAGTGCTGGTTTTAGTTTTAACAGACATATAATAGTAGCTTTAGCCCTCTCCTAAGTAAACTTTCCTTTGAGTTGTCAATGTTCCTTGTAACAAATTTGCAGAACTGAATATATTTCTTGATCCTTTTTTACTGCAAAGATAGTTCTGAATTCTAGACATAACTAGTGTGTTGGGTTGAATAGTTACATTAATGGTCATGTTGGCCTTGTTTGTTTGTTGGTTGGTTGAAGTTTGATGATTGTTTTGGCTTATTGTCTTGATACATAGCTATTCTTAGCTTCTGTATAGAAGATCATGACAGTTTTGCCAGCCCATATAGCGTTTACATTTTTCTACATATCGTGGTGGCCTCGACGGCCCAAACAGGACTTATGTGCTAGCCGCCTATTTCTTTATATGAACTATGGGAAGTAATAGTATCCTTTATAGTGTTGTTGACAGGGGTCTTACCAGTCAAGAGCTTATTTTTTAAGTCGAAATATACTATCCGTCTAGACGGCCAAAGTGTACGTCTTACACCTCATAGTACTACTACACCCAAATTGAACTCACTCCGTAAACACTTTTTAAAATATTTACTTTTATAAAAGGGAATTTCAGGATATAATCCTTCAAAATTTCATAAAGATGATCAATCTTAAACAAATTGAATAAAGTCAGTAAGATGAAATAAATAAATAAATAAATATAATAGAGCAAAATAAGAAATATAAATTAGATGCATATCACGAATTCAAACCTTATCACATAGCTCAAATGTCTATTATTAAAAACATTCATACTTCACCATATTCTTATCACATCACACTTAATAAAGTATTATGTAACAAAAACCACTCACAACATATAAACTTCACTAATCAGTCCCCTCCCCATTACATTAATTAATTAATTCTAAGAAGACCATTTGAATTGCAAAACTTGTTTGCCTTGAATTTTGAGATACAATCCATCCTTCTTTGCATGCCATTCACATATATTATTTGCACATCTTTTAGAATCTCTATTATTATCAAATAAAACAAATGTACCATGTACTCTTTTTGATGTTTGAGCAGTCAAAGCACATGAAGCAATTGCCTTTTGTTTTGGATCACCAAAATTTACTGGAAATGAGCTTTTTGTTCCTTTTGGAATTGGCAAAGTTCCATCATCAAATCCCATAATTATACAATGAGCTCCTAAATTAGCTCCTAATTCATTGTAGATTAATACTTTAAATTGTATACAATGAACTAAAGAGCATGAATAATATAAAGTCAAAATAAGAGAAATAATTGGCAAATTGTATTGTGAAGACTTCATTTTTATGTGGTTTATATGAGTGAAGTATTAGTCTTTATATAGTTGTATAACATAAAATTTTATGGGAACAAATTAAATTCTAGAATAATCATGCTAATATGTAATTATAGAGTAATGTTTTTCTTTAAATTAATATTACTAATTCTGAAAAAGATTAGGATATGATTCATGTACCTCAGTCAACTATATATTATTATGGGGGAAAAAAGTCGATAAATGTTATTTAAGATTATTCCTCCTATTTATCTTTTTTTAGTTTTAACTTGTCAATATCTTTATAGTTATCCTCAATTATTCAAGGAAAATGTTTTAAATCATTTTAGTCTCTGGAATATTGATAAATGGTGGTTCTTGTAATTTTTGTCTAAATATATCTAATTTTAGTTAATGGATATATGTACTTTTTATTGTGAATTTTTATAAATTTAATGAATTATTAAGTGTTAAGGTGTCTGGTCAATATGTTATGTTAAATTTTAATGTTATTTTGTATTTGAGGATCAGATAATATGTAAATATAAATATATAATTATGCTCTCTTTAATTTCCAATCATACAAAGATTTTCTTCGCTCAACTATTATGGCATAAGGATATTGGAGTAAATGTTAAAGATTCTCATCATTTTCACCTTCTCGTTGTTCTTAATAACTTTGAAGTTCGATCGATGTATCTTTTGTTATGTTGATTTCATTTATATAATATTTAGTCAAAGTCGAATGACTTTTTAGTTATAATTTTTTTTGTTTAGTGACTTGTTGTTATCATTTGGCAAAGTTGAATGGTTTTTGTTATAAAAGATTGTTTAATTTTGTTATATTTTAACAAAATTGAATGATTTTTATATTACAAAAAAAATAGTATAGTAACTTTACTGTAATAAAATAAAAGTTTAAGTAATCATAGATAAAATTAACCTTTTTCTTTTTTTTTTTAAAAATCCCCTAGTTTTTTCCAACTTATAATTAAGGGAAAATGGTCTGAAAAATATTCCAACTTTGGTCGAAATTGTTGTTACGATACCAAACTTTGGAAAGGACCTTTTACCCCATGTACTATTTAATAGTGTATTTTAAATGTATATATGTGCCTACGTGGATATCATAAATATTTCATCATTTTAAATAGTAATGTGTCCACGTGGGCACATATATACCTTTAAAATATATTATTAAATAGTGCAGGGGGTAAAAGGTCCTCCATAAAATTTGGTATCGTAACAACAATTTCGGTCAAAACTGAAATATTTTTCGGACCCTTTTCCCTATAATTAATAAAATATCACTCTCTTATACAAAAATGAAACTAATCTCCAAATTTTGACCTAATGGTTATTTTCCATCTTTTATTCATGCGGCCATTAAGATAGCCAATTACACATCAATTTCTTTAGCTTAGCTTTCATTAGTAAGACCTTACTAATAATTGTTATCTGGTTATAGTTATGCAAATATTAGTAAGGTACATATTAGTTATGAGGTAATCTATGTATTATTCTATGCAGGGTTATTACATCTTATGTCCTTTGCATAAAATAATACATAGAATCATGCATAACTTATATTAGTTATACATTTTTCTAAATAGCATATTAATTTTGTACAAAGTACATAAATAATTTACCTCATAATCAACCACCAAATGTGATATTACGTATGCATAATTTAATACTTGCATAACTCAGCTCCAAACCAACTACCAATCGACCCCTTAATTTATTGAACATTTCCTCTTACAAAAGAAGTATGAGCTTGTTAGTATCCTTCACTTAGTACACTTTTATCCATTTTGATCTCACTTTAAATTGGTCTTCCATCACATTGATCAAATTTTGAAAAATTAACAAAACTTTAAGTTTGTACTCATAAAATTTAATTTTAATTTAACGATTCAAAATTTATATGCACGATAAAATTAAAAAAAGAAAAACTTCTGAAACTCTACCTTATTAAAGAAGAAAAATTCAGTAGATTTATTTTACGGTAGAAATACATTCAACCAAAATTTGAAAAGTTGATCCCACTAGATATTTTTTTTTAAAAATATTGTCTTCTTTTAAATTTTGTAAATATAAATAAGGAGATAAATATTAAAAAAAATTATATTTTGGACTTTTATTTTGTCACCCCTAAATATGAACATGAAAGAACCCTATGTTAGTAAAAGCAAGATCTTTACACATACAAATTCACTCTCAAATCAATATTTTGAAGTGAAAAAAAAACACTCCTCACATTGACAACTCTGTAGGTTCTTACAGCATAAACCCTAACATTGCTTAAACCCTTTTTGAAAATAACCATTTGATTCTTGGGGGTGTTGAAATTTATTCACCCAAATCTTTGTGTTTTTCCATTTTTTGGCTCCTATCCGGCAACAATTTGAGCAATCGACAGAGGTATATTATTGATTTTCTTTGTTTTGTAGACTTCTCCATTTGTCACAGAAAAGATTCAAACTTGTGAAAATCGTTATATTACTATTGACTCAGAAAAAGCTTCTCTTTAGAAGTCATATCAGTAGATTGTTTTTTTTTTAATTTCAAATTTAGTTGCCACCCAGTTCTTGTATTTCCTTGTTTTGAGTTGGATTCTCCATTTGAGCTAGGAAAGTTTCAATCTTTGAAAGGCAGAACATAAAAAAATGGTCTTTTGTGTCAAAACTAGAACTTCAGTTGTAGTCTGTTTTGAAATACTTCTCAAGGACTGTTGAGAAAATATATTCTATTAGCAGCCTATTTGTTTGAAGCTGAGGATCTATCGGAAACAATCTACATCCTAGCCTCCCCAGATCCTACTTGTGGAATTACAATGGGTGTGTTGTTGTTGTTGCAGCTGTATTTGTTGTCTGGTACCTAGTATTCTGTGTTCCATTTGTTTCTTTGTTTCAGGTTGAGATAATTTTTCCTTTCTACTGTAGGTCAAGACTCCTGGATTTGTCTACTTGACAGGTTGATATCCTTTGAGGAGGATAATGACATAGCCGCAGCTGGAACGTGCTAGGATGAGGTTACAATTGATTAATAGAGGTACAGAAATCTTTATTTTTAAAAGCTAAGTGTTCCCTAAATATTTGGTTGCCAAGTTCCTTGGGAGAACTGGAAAGGTTGGAAACATTTCTTGTCCAGTGTTGCTTATCTGTGTTGCATTGTTTCCCTTGCTGTAAGACAGCATATTCTGATATTAATGTATATAGCTCAGCTACAAAATTTTGGCCTTCAAATACCTACATGATGCAATAGTTGGGATTGATCTATCTTAAGCAGTTTTTAGTGCATAGCAGCAGGAGCAGCACTGATTCCTGGCGATCCTGCTGATCTTTCTTAAACTTCCATTCTGAAAAACCTAGAAAAGACAAATTACTGAATATTTGAATGAAGAAGGTCAGCAGAATGGTTATTGGGGATTTATATAGCCAACCTCAACCAGTTAAGAATTGAGTGTAATTGTTATTGCTGTTGTTACTGTTTAAGTACCTACAAAATGGTTATTGATTAGGCTTTAAAGATACTTCAGTTCAAATTTTCTCAAAGAACTTGGGAAAAGAAGAAACAACTTATATAGTGAAGGAAGGGGGTGAGGGATGGGGAATTGGTCTAAATGCTGTTCCAACAAAGGTACTTATCTTTCTGGCAGCCAGGAGTATTTTATTTCCTTGTAGTCTCCTTTTCTTTCATTACAGCACTGTATCTTAGTTGCTTATGCATTTTTTGAATCAGGTGTATCTTAGTTGCTTACTCTTTTTATGTTTTGCTTTAGGATTGCGATCTCAGTATGACTTAAAACGTACCACTGTATTTGCTAATTGCAAGAGGTTCTCAGTTTCAAATAATGGATATTCCAACTTTGATAGACCTGTCAGCTCCTTCGTTCCAGAGAGAAACCCGGAATTTTCAAGCCGATTAGAGAATGTGCAGAATGGAGTAGATAACACACATGGGTGGAGCGAGGCCTTTTCAAACAAATTGGAGGGTTTAAGGCAAACAGTGGATAATGTTTGCAAGATCTTGCAGAGTGGTCCTTGGGGACCTTCTATAGAGATTGCTTTATCCAAATGTGATGAAAATCCTAGCACCGAAGTGGTCACTGGAGTATTAAGGCGGCTAGAGGATGTCAACACAGCATTAAACTACTTCGGATGGGCTGAGAAGACAACCCTCCGAGCACATTGCCCTGAAGCATATAATTCACTTCTCATGGTAATGGCTAGGACTAGAAATTTCGAAAATCTGGAACAGATTTTGGAAGAAATGAGTCTCGCTGGATTTGGCCCATCGAACACTGTATCGATTGAGTTGGTTGCAGGCTGTGTGAAGAAGCGAAAACTTAAAGAAGCGTTTGATCTAATTCAAACCATGAGAAAGTTTAAGATTCGTCCTGCATTTTCTGCATATACAACTGTAATAGGTGCGCTTTCTGCTGTACAAGAACCTGATCTCATGCTCACCCTCTTTCATCAGATGCAGGAATTAGGATATGAAGTAAATGTACATTTATTCACGACTGTAATTCGAGCTTTTGCTAGGGAGGGCAGAGTTGATGCTGCTCTGTCCTTGTTGGATGAGATGAAAAGCAATGCTTTTGATGCAGACATTGTCCTCTATAATGTTTGCATTGACTGTTTTGGCAAGGCTGGTAAAGTTGATATGGCCTGGAAATTCTTTCATGAGTTGAAGGCGCATGGTATTTTACCTGATGATGTGACATATACGAGTATGATTGGGGTTCTTTGCAAAGCTAATAGATTGAATGAAGCTGTAGACTTGTTTGAGCAGTTGGAGTTCAACAGGACTGTTCCATGTGCATATGCTTATAATACCATGATCATGGGTTACGGATCTGCTGGTAAATTTGATGAAGCATATAGTTTGCTTGAGAGACAAAGACAAAAAGGGTCAATACCAAGTGTGATTGCATATAATAGTCTTCTTACTTGCCTTGGGAAGAAACAAAGAGTGGACGAGGCATTAAGGATATTTCAGGAGATGAGGAAAGATGCTGCACCTAATCTTTCAACCTATAATATTCTCATAGACATGCTCTGCAGGGCAAGGAAGCTTGATGTTGCTTTAGAAATTCGTAACACCATGGAGGCAGTTGGCTTGTTTCCTAATGTATTGACTGTGAATATAATGGTTGATCGTCTATGCAAGGCTCAACAACTTGATGAAGCATGTTCTATCTTCGAAGCTATGGATCATAAAGTTTGTAGACCAAATGAATTCACATTTTGTTCTCTGATAGATGGACTGGGTAGGCGAGGGAGAGTTGATGATGCATACAGACTCTATGAACAAATGTTGGATTTTGATCTTATTCCTACTGCCATTGTCTATACATCTCTCATCAGGAACTTTTTCATGTGTGGGAGAAAAGAAGATGGCCACAAAATTTACAAGGAGATGGTGCGTCAAGGAGCTTCTCCTGACCTTACCCTCCTTAATACTTATATGGATTGTGTTTTCAAAGCTGGGGAGACAGAGAAAGGTAGGTCTCTGTTTGAGGAAATCAAAACTTGGGGATTCACTCCAGATGTAAGGAGCTATTCTATACTAATCCATGGCCTCATAAAAGCCGGCTGTGCTCGTGAAACATATGAGCTGTTTTATGCAATGAAGGAACAGGGGTATGTGCTGGATACTTTTGCTTATAATACTGTTATAGATGGATTCTGCAAATCAGGTAAAGTTAATAAAGCTTATCAGCTGCTGGAGGAGATGAAAGTAAAAGGTCTGGAGCCAACTGTAGTAACATATGGCTCTGTCATCGATGGGCTTGCTAAGATTGACAGACTTGATGAAGCCTACATGCTTTTTGAAGAAGCAAAATCTAAAGGTGTTCCTTTAAATGTGGTTATATACAGTAGTCTAGTAGACGGATTTGGTAAAGTGGGTAGAATAGACGAAGCATATCTAATCATGGAAGAATTGATGCAAAAAGGCTTGTCACCAAATGTATACACATGGAATTGTTTGCTTGATGCACTAGTGAAGGCTGAAGAAATAGACGAAGCCCTTGTTTGCTTCAAGTCAATGAAGGAGTTAAAGTGCACTCCAAATACTTTTACTTATAGCATTATCATTAATGGTCTTTGTAGAGTAAGAAAATTCAATAAAGCATTTGTATTTTGGCAAGAGATGCAGAAAGAAGGATTAACACCCAATATGATCACCTATACAACCATGATCTCTGGGCTTGCAAAGGCTGGAAATGTATCAGAGGCCGATAAACTCTTTCAAAAATTCCAGGCCAAGGGAGGTAAACCAGATTCTGCTTGTTACAACACTATGATAGAGGGGCTAAGCATCGCGAACAGGGCGACGGAGGCATATGAGCTATTTGAAGAAACAAGATTAAGAGGATGTAATATATATACCAAAACTTGTGTTATTCTTTTAGATGCATTACACAAGGCAGAATGTCTTGAGCAGGCTGCAATCGTTGGTGCTATATTGAGAGAAATAGCAAAGTCGCAGCATGCTTCAAGATCTTTGTAATGTTGACATAGGTACTCGTCGCCATAAGGAAATTTTCAGTTCCATAATTCAAAGGTCTGATCATCTTTTATTTCTTATATATTCGTCAAACAATTACCACATGAAAATATCTTTTTGTCATGCTTCCTGTTCTTCCACTCTGCTGCACATGCACACTAACACTCATTTACACATATATAACTACATTTTTAAATGTCTTCTATGGGGAGTCAGTTGAATCTTCTGTAGAGAAGCAGCCTCACATACATGGTGTTTAGATGCCTAACAAGGCTGAGTGCTCACCATTGAACAGTCATGGTAGAACAATGTATTATTGTCATTCTCTTTGCTGAAACTCCAAAATCATTTCTTAATTGGAAGTCAAAGTTGCTCATTCTCAAAACCGCTCCTGTATCTGTAGTAGTAGTTATTACTTCTACACTTCATTGGCATTTCTCAAGCTTAGTATATTAAAAGGTGTTTGACTATGTTGGCTTGATGCTTGACAGGTTATACTGGTATCAGTCATAAGGTGACCTGGATGATTTTATCTTGGCTTGCTTACTATATTTGTGAAAATAATGTGTTTTATGGATGGGCAGAGAGTTAATGAATGTCAATGAAGTTGTATTGATGAGTTCTAGTTTGGAATTGCCCTATGAAAAATATTCTTCATGTAACTTGAAAGCTCTGTTGCTCGAAAAGCATAAGCCTTGTTCTATTTGACAGGCTGTATATTGCCTGTTTTTAGAGTTCCCTTCACTCTGAGAGGCTGTGTTCCAATTTCAAAGCTACTCTCAAAGGCCAAAGCGCACCACAAGGAGAAACGATCCAATCAAACTATCTGATAAGGTAGTCAAGGCCATTGGAGCTTCATGCTCCTTTGTCCATGTTTCTTGCCTTAAAACTGTGAAAGCCTATGAACATGGTCTGAAACTGCAGAAGCTCATGCGGTAGGTGATGCGACAAGAAGTCTGTGATTGACAATGCCCCATGAAAAGAAACGAGGAACTCTCAATGAAGAAGTGCTCTCTAAACCGAACGATGAGGCATGCTAGCCTTTGTTGTATGTTCATCAAATTGACACCATTTGTTCCCATAAACGCCTCTAGATTCTTGCTTGTGATTGCTGAGCCAGACAATCATTTAGAGATTGTGTCTTTCCCATCCTCCAACACATCTCAGCTTCACTACTACCTCCGTAGCCCCCATTCCCACTCCCCACGTATTTATTTTTAGATCATAAACTAATGCTTTTAAGATTAATATTGTTGCTTATGTATCAAAAATAAGATAATAATTAAGAAATTCATTTATTTTCCTAAAAAATCATTTACCTTTGTACCAAAAACACCTTTGTTAATTTTAAGAAATCTACCGACGGGCATGTTCGTCTTTGTTAAACTTTTTGATTGTTTGTTTTTTGTTAATTTGAGAGATCTTTCTCGAGGTTTTGACTTCATGTCACTTGCTTCCATGTAGTTTTTGATATTACAGTTATCTCCCTTGTGGTTTTTGATACTTCGTTGTAGCAATTCTTGTTAATTTATATATATTATTAATAAAAAATAATCATGAATGGACTACTTTGCCCCTTTTTAAGATACTATACTATTTAATCATGCAATTATTATTTTTTGATTAATTTCCATCGTCCACCATAGTTAATATTTCCAATTCACGTTTGCAAATACAAGCATATATTACTCATATTTAAATGATTATTATCAAAAGAAATAAGTATTAAACTCTTAGAATATAAGAAATGTATTATGATTCTTTTAATTTGCAAAAGTATTCGTTAATTATAAGTTTAGTTGCACTCAATATTTTTAAATATTCAAACTCGAAAATATTTTGTTCTATTATTTCAATCTTGAAATCCCTACAATTTCTTCCATGTCCAAATACAGAAATCAAGATTTAAGTATTTACTAATTAGGTCACTTATAATATAATTATAAGAATCTAATAATAAATTATAAGTGGTGTTTTAAAATGTTAATCATTTTATGTATGTATAAAAAACATATATTCACTATCAATATATATAACTTATACATAAAAAAATTTAAAAAATAAAAGGAAAATCTTTTATATTATATAGTTTCCCTCTTCACTTTTTTTAATTTAGGATTCCTTGTCACAACTCCCAAAAATTAAATGACCGTTACAAAAGTCCCTCTTTTCATTTTCATTTTCAAAAATTCAAAACTGACCGTTGCCAAAATATTTTCTTTTTCTAATGCCCCAAAATTCCAAACCCATTTCATAAACCACTCACTCTCATCTCCTCCAAAAAATCAGAAAACAGTGTATAATCTGAATTCAAATGGCACTCAGATCTCTCGATAACGCTCTCCCAATTGCGATAGAAAGACCCAAAAAACAAGCAAAAGTTGTTGTAACCCAGAATCAGAAAGAGACTGATTGTGTTGTCAATGACGAAAACAAAGCCCCTTTACCACCCGGAGACGCAGCGGTTGATTACGTCCCTTCTGAGAATATTGAAGCCATTGATGACCCAGATAGCAAAATCCATGTATGTGGTTGAGTTCTTTTAATATCTTCCCTTTTTTTTCAAGTTTTTTATAACCATTTTGATGGATTTTCGTAAATTTTAGGGACTTGTTGGAGGGTTGGAATCTAAAGATTGGTTGGAAATTTGTCGCTCATTGAACGATACGAGGCGATTTGCTCTGTTTCACTCTGCTCTCTTGCTGCCAATTCTGTAGGTTTCATCTCTTTGAATTATTCTGTTTTTGTTTGATTTGGGGATTTACTTTTTGACGGTTTTTGTAATTGCAGGGGCAAAGTTCTACTGGTGATAGTTAAGTCAATGAAAAATCCAAGAAGTGCTCTCTGCAAAACTTCTGTCATGGCTTCAGCTGATATCTTCAAAGCCTTTGGTGATGAGTTATTTGAATCATCTAATTCTGATGCATTTGACAATGTGGTATGTATAGTGTTTATCGAGTTGTGTTAACGTTCTAGTGCACTGGCCTAATATGCAGTTTTTTTTTACAGATTTTGCAGCTATTGCTGAAAGCTTCTCAAGATAAAAAGTTTGTTTGTGAAGAAGCAGATAAGACACTCAAGGCAATGGTGGAGTCTATGACTCCTCTTCCTTTGTTCCATAAGCTTCATACCTATGTCAAACATTCCAACATGAGAATCAGAGCAAAAGCTGCAATCTCAATATCACATTGTGTTTCTAAGATGGTTGGTTTTTACATTATCTTATCTAACTGCTGTAGATTTCTCTCTGTCATGGTTCTTAATGAGTTGCATTGCTATTCTAGGAACTGGATGGAATGAAAGAGTTTGGATTCGTTTCGTTGGTCCAAATTGCTGTAAATTTGCTCAATGATCGACTCCCTGAGGCAAGAGAAGCAGCTAGAAGTATCGTGGTTTCAGTATACGAGGCATTAACCAAGGATGAAGAGCAGAAACAAGAGGTGTGGCAAAACTTTTGCCAGTCTAATCTTCCAGCTATTCATGATGCACAAGCCATAGTTAAAATTGTCTCCTCCTAGTAGACTCATTCAAATTTTTAGCAGTAAAAGCATTTGTTTAGTCTGTCTTCATTGATATCTTTTACATGTAACCTTTTCTGGGTAACCTATATTGTTTTGTTGCTAAAAATAAAATAGGCTCTCGTTTTATCATCTTCTCGAGCTCAAGAAAAGACAACATATGTTTCGCAATGCTTGCTGCACCATAAAGGTTATTGAAATACCACTTGGAAAAGGGAATGTTAACAAATTCATTGCCACCGGCAATGGTTCTTATCACCCAACAATGCAAAAAAAATAAAATAGTATAACCTCAATAAAATGTACATACATAACCCACACAATGTGTATTGATGCACATTTTGCATGAATTCTCGAAGCCTCATAAATAGACCAAAAAAAAAAAGGGAGGCAGCCTTGTAAAAGAAAAGAAAATGCTATTAGATCTTGCAAGTGCAGCAAAACGTATAGACAAAATGCTCTTTAGAATTCATATGTAGACTCTTTCTTGTATCTGCTGCAACCAAGGATTCAGCCGGGTTGCATTACTATAGAAGATATTCCCAAAATTTCTTCCACGAAAAAGGCCTACTTTTCTACTCTTCATTCCTGTTCAACCAATGAGCGCAAAGCCATCTCAGCATCAGCTAATGGTTGTCCAGCATAAAGCTTCAGTTTCCCTTTCTTCACCACAATTACCTTCATAGTATGTGATCTAATTGCCTCACTGAGTTCCTGAAAATAAGTGAATGGTCCGCATAAAAAATTCCATGGTACAGGCATAAGTTGAAAAATTCAGTTATACACAAATTAACCAACTTTTCTTGGGAGTGTCACTCTCAACAGTGTTAATAGTCCTTGAAAGGTTAGTAGGGCTCTTGTCATCAAAAAGTTAGTAAGGCCCTCTAAATGCAGTGGAATAGAATACTTTATGCACTGTGAGCAAATGACGTAGATATATTTAATGCAAGCTTAATATTCTTACTTTAACTGGTAAAGGGACAATTTCAGCACTGAAATCTCCCAAGTCTTCAAAGAAGGACTGTAAGAGATAACAAAAATTGGTGGCATCACCACGATCTTCAAAGGTGACTGTATGAGATAAGCTACCATTCACTTGAGAGCTACTTTTTAAGGTAAACAATCCTTCTGGTCCTTCATCATCATGACCTCTCCGCATGCGTATAGCCTGCATACAACAACGCACTTAGTGACAGGAGCATGAAGCAAGAGCCAACAACAACAACATACCCAGTGAAATCCCACAAGTGGGGTCTAGAGAAGGTAAAATGTACGCAGATGTTACCGTTACCTCGTGGAGGTAGAGACGTTGTTTCCGAAAAATGGAAAAATGGAATCAGATAGGAAAGATAAGAAAAATACATATCCATTGTGACATTGGATGATTAAAATGTGTCCACACAATAACCCGTTAATATATAAATATTGTTGTGAATATCAAATATAAGGTCGATAAATCACACAAGACATTTGCCAAATACCTATGTTGCTAACCTAAATGACTGGTACTTAAGCAACCGGATGCCAGCAATACCCAACTAAAAGGTTCTCTAATCTCAGCACAGATATTCAAGTGCCTCAGCAAGGGATATCCATGAAGTATAAACAAAAACATTTTATAGGAGAGCAACAACCAAAGAGAAGGGTACAGTGATACAATTTGCAAGGAAGACACAAATGGCTGGATAACCACTTCTAGCACAAAACCATATAAAATCTGACTAATATTTCTCACATGATAAGACAATGATTCTGTTTATAGAAATAATGACAAGGCAATGATCCCTAGTTCAAGTTAACTGCAATAACATTAGTCTTGGTTTCAGTCCCACATATTAGCTTCTTCCTTGGACTCGTCATCTTTTGTGTACATAATCATTTTTTCCCTTTTGACAGTACCAAGTTTGCTATAAAACTTAGAAGTTAGAACTACACACGTAGATGCTATCAGAAAGTAAAACAGAGACAAAAGATAACATGTATAGTAGGAATGCAAGCTGTCGAAAATAAACAAGTAAGAAGTGGACATAAATCCCATATACATACAAGAACATAAGGAAGACTGAACCACCAAAAATCAGTATCATTTCCTGAATTCGTACCCTCCTTTGGATTCACTACTTTTTGGTCCTTAACTTCCTTCATATTTGAAGTTCCGTTTCTATTTGAGTTCTTGCGTCTGTTCATCATTGTAGTACTCTTTATACGGCGTGATTCTCCCGAGTCCATAACTTCAACCAAAGTATTTCCAGTATTTGAAATTGTTGCAGTCTCCTGATTGCTTAATTCTTTTGAGTCTACAGGTTCAAACAAACTGCTCCCATTATTTCTATCTACCGAAATATCTGTAGCTAAAAAATGAACAGTGCTACAATACATTAAAATGCATCTCTTATTGATTGCAGGAACTAGTGCAACAGAAGACAAAATACTGGTTCCCAAATTGCTCACATTGTTTTTCAACAGGTATTCAATAGGTGCAAGATATAAAGGCTTAACAGTATAAACTACAAATTCAGAAGGTAAACGATAGAAAACAAACCTTTGGCAGCAATATAGCATGTGATCATACAAAAATGAGTTCTTTGCA